CCCCACCCTACCACCACCATACACTCACACAAACAAACAAACAGATTACAACATAATCTGCTGAAATTTACGCACTAATAGGGACAGTGTAGGAGCTGTTGACCCCATCTGCAGGGCGACTGTCTGTAAAGTCCGGGTACATGGTGACCTTGAACGAGGGTATGGCCGCACTAACGAACGTCACGGGCAACATAAGTTCGCACTCTACAATCACATCGCCGTCACTCCCGATGGGTATGGTGGTATAACGGACGCCTTCGTCCGGTAAACGCGTCTCCTCTCCCTGCACAGAAAACGATGCCGTTTTGTGTAACTTGTATGTAACTTTTCGCTATTTTGAAGAATCGCCTGGTCAAGCAGACTGTTACGAACGTGTCTGCAGGACAGGACGATTAGTAGGAGTAACGAAAAGACACCCACAAGTGTGCATAATATGTTCTTTCGTATGCATCATGATAAAACAGCCCATTACCTCACACCCATGAAATGTAAGGGTAGGAGTGTGTTAGTATGTGTCTCTGTGTGTGTGTTTGTGTGTGTGTGTGTGTGTGTGTGTGTGTGTGTATGTGTGTGTGTGTTTGTCTGTGTGGGAGAGAGAGAGACAAAAAAGAGAGAGAGAATAAAAGATAAGACAAGATACATTTGTATGGTCCATATCCAGGCATATATTGGTTTGGTGCTTCACCACGAACAAACATACATACACATACACACACACACACACACACACACACACACACACACACACACACACACAAACATGAGCACACACAGTATGCTTGCACTCACAAACAGGCTTACAGTCACATGCATAATATAAATGAACAGTAATATAAACAATGATGATGTTAAGCTAGGTACATACTCAGTATTCTGATTGTGACTCTAAGGTATTCTGAGGCATGCTCTAAATTCACATGAATACTTATAACAAGATGGTTAAGATGGAATAAGTCTGATAGTTGATGGTAAGGATGACCTTCTGTATCTTTCTTTGTTCAGATCAGAAGCCTAGGTCTTTTACTTCTGACTAATTTTTATTTGAAGGAACAAGGGATGTTTACTGTCCAAAAAGATAAAATTAATTTTTTCTGGTGCAAGCTATAATGTACAATTCATCAAAGTAGGGGAATGTAGACGTTTAAATTGTGCATGCTTTCCGTATTAATCGATTTAATTTCTATTTATCTTGTTGTCGGGAGCAGTGTTCCCGGCCTATTGATCATACTTTCTATGGTTGAATGTTAGAATATAGACATCAATGTTTTATCAACTTTAATAAACATGGAGAAAAAGAAGCAACCAGATGGTGCAAAGGAGTACAGAGCAGTCAGCCAAAAAAATTTTTAAAGTATGAAAAGGGCAAAAGAAAATTGGATCGAGGAACAATGCCAAATAATCAAAAGCAGCCTGAGGACAAACAACAGCAAAAAAGCCTATCAATTTGTAAAAGACCTGACATGCACTAAAGAAGGGCGCACCACCACCATTCAAGACAAACAAGGAAAATGCCTGACAGAGGAACAAGACATTTTGAAAAGATGGACACAATACTGCTCAGAATTGTACAACTACAAAGCCACGGGAAACCCCGAGATTCTAAACGTTCCCCCAGCAACCAACATCGATAACCACCCAATCCTTCGAGAAGAAGTTGAAGCAGCAGTTAAAGCACTGAAGAAGGGGAAATCAGCAGGAGTGGACAACATCCCAGGAGATTGATACAGGTAGGGGGGAAGGACATGATAAGCGCTCTGACTGTCATCTGCAACAAGATCTGGCAGACAGGAGAGTGGCCAACACCACGGACACAATCACTAGTGATTACACTCCCCAAGAAAGGTAACCAGCAACTATGTCAGAATTACCGTACCATCAGTCTAATAAGCCATCCCAGTAAGGTTATGTTGAAGATAATGCTGAACAGATTGAAACCACAGGCAGAGAAGATCATTGCCGAAGAGCAGGCAGGCTTTAGAGTAGGGCGCAGCACAACAGAACAGATCTTCAACCTCAGAATACTGTGCGAAAAGTACCTCCAACACCAACAAAACCTATACCATATCTTTGTGGATTTTAAAAAGGCCTTCGACAGGGTCTGGCATGCAGCCTTATGGGCAACTATGAGGAAATATAACATCAATGCCAACCTGATCAACGTCATACAACAACTATACGACAAGGCCTCCAGCGCAGTCTACCTTAACGGCAGCATGGGGGATTGGTTCAGGACAACGGTCGGGGTGAGGCAATGCTGTTTACTCTCTCCCACTCTCTTCAACATCTTCCTTGAACGAATCATGACTGACACTCTGGAAGACCACAATGGAACAATCAGTATTGGAGGCAGGACAATTACTAACTTGCGTTTTGCCGATGACATCGATGGATTAGCAGGAGAAGAACAGGAGCTCGCCACACTAGTGGAGCGGCTGGACACAACCTCAGCAGCCTACCGCATGGAGATCAGTGCCGAGAAAACCAAGCTAATGACCAATAACACCAATGGCATCAATGCGGACATCAAAGTCAGGGGCGAGAAACTTGAGACCGTCAACAGCTTCAAATACCTCGGATCTGTCGTCACAGATGAAGGCCAGAAATTCTCTCCAGAATCGCGCAAACAACAGCTGCGCTGTCAAAACTGAAGCCTATTTGGGGGGACAGAAACATCACGCACAGCTAAAAAATTAGACTAATGCGCTCACTGGTCATCTCAATATTTTTATACGCCTGCGAGTCGTGGACACTAACAGCAGAATTAGAGAAAAAGATTTAGACCACAGAGATGAGATGTTACCGCAGACTCCTTGACGTCTCGTACAAAGACCACGTTTCAAATGCTGAAGTACGAAAGAGAATCATCAACACAGAGGGACAATATGAAGATCTACTGACCACAGTGAACAGACGAAAACTAAAATGGTATGGGCATTTTACAAGATCCACAGGACTTGCCAAAACAATCCTGCAAGGAACCGTTCAAGGAAAGAGACAGAAAGGAAGGCAGAGAAGGAGATGGGAGGACATTACAGAGTGGACAGGAAAGACGATGGGTGACAATCTGAGGAGAGCAGAGGACAAAAACAGATGGCGAGAGCTGGTTTTCCAATGCAGTGGTGCCCCAACGGTTGCCCCAACCACGGGATATAAGAAGAAGAAGAATATACATGAGCTTCCTTAGGAAAAATAGTTTTTTGTTCATTTTTTTATGCAGGAGAGAGGTGTGGACACGCTAGTCGAGTTTGTTGTCTATTGTAACACCCACATCCTTACAATTTGATACTCTCTCTACGTTTTCACTTTTAATTTCGAGTGGCTACAGGGGCAGTTTCTATTTTCGAAAGTCAACAACAAGTTCTTTGGG